CAGTCATGGCTTCAGTAGCTTAACCAAATAGAGTAGACATGGCTTCAGTAGCTTAATCAAACAGAGCAGTCATGGCTTCAGTAGCTTAACCAAACAGAGCAGTCATGGCTTCAGTAGCTTAACCAAATAGAGTAGACATGGCTTCAGTAGCTTAATCAAACAGAGCAGTCATGGCTTCAGTAGCTTAATCAAACAGAGCAGTCATGGCTTCAGTTGCTTAACCAAATAGAGTAGACATGGCTTCAGTAGCTTAATCAAACAGAGCAGTCATGGCTTCAGTAGCTTAACCAAATAGAGTAGTCATGGCTTCAGTAGCTTAACCAAATAGAGTAGACATGGCTTCAGTAGCTTAATCAAACAGAGCAGTCATGGCTTCAGTTGCTTAACCAAATAGAGTAGACATGGCTTCAGTAGCTTAAACAAGCAGTGTAGTCATACTTTCAGAAGCTTTAGGAAATATAATGGTCATGGTTAAAAAAACTTGCTTAGACATATTTAGTTAAGCCACTAGAGAATTTAGTTCTTTTTTAATATAAAAAGGGTGGTTTTAGTGACCAGTGTTCTGTGTAGAATAAGTCTTTAGACAAAATCTTTAAAAAACTTAAGGACACCATAAAGAGCAGCTTCTACGTAAAACTTTCTCTTAAGATCAGAAGTTAATAAAGTAGAAAACTTATTAAAACGTAACCTTTGTGCAAATTGATAGAGGCAACTGATTTACAAGTTTAGGGCAGTTAGGTTTTGTGTTTCTTTAGAAGCAAATTTATATCAAAGAAAGATGCATAAAAAGAAGAATTAGGTGCCACATTGTCCCCTCTATTTTATATATGTTTTTAAACAGGTAGTAACCATTAGGATTAGCAGGAATGCAATATTAAAGTAGTCTTCTGCGTATACTGATTGAGGGGCTATCTGTCACACAAACGAGGTTTTTGATATAAGGTGGTATACGTGTGCCGAATTTCAGGCCAATTTCTATCAGGTAAGTTGAATGGTGAGGATATCAACAACAACAAAGATCATCAGAAACAATAATAGGAACAGTTCAGCTTAGTACAATTCACTAAGTTAGCTGAAGTTGCTCTCACTAGTAAAAACACCTTTGCTAATAGAATCAGTAATGATATATAACAAGTGTACCCTAAAGGACAAGAAATATTTAGTTCACTGGTAAAAATAACAAACAACATTTGTTTTATCATCAGAACGATATCCGAGCTGTATCGAGTTGAACAAGTCTATTCTTAAGAAATACTTTTGAAAGTTTAAAACTGTGATGTTATGTACGTTTTTTTTGTTTGTAAATTATTGGTGTATTACTAAAATAATTTCACAACTTTGTTTTAGAGTTTTTAAGTATTTAGATACTTATAGAATTTGGAACAATTTCAGGATCCAGCCATGGGTATGGAAATTCCAGGGTTTGGTTTCGAGCTTTTATTTTTGCACTGATTATTTTCAGTTCCGCGCAGAATCTAAAGCAACGAAAAAAAAAGAAGTTTAAAATTAAAAACTAGAAAAATAAACAAAGCAGACACAGATTTAAAATCTGGATAGTAAATGTATGATACAAACATACATGTGTGTGTGTGTGTGTGTGTGTGTGTGTGTGATTGTGTATTTCTTACACAATATATGCTATCTTAAATTAGTTTTTACCCTAACATAAAGATAATTTCTTTTAATCAAAAATATACGTTACTGATTCAAAAGAGGCCTACTGCGTATTTCTTCATGAAAAATAGTTATCTATTTAGGGTTTCCAACTAGAAATATTTATAAAACTAGCATTTCAATTCTAATTTGTATGTCTATCTAAGTATTTGTTAACTACTAGTAGTTCATCAAACTGCTTGAAAATCACCAATCAGATTTGGCGTGTTTCTCTGTGAAACACCAATCAGTTTTAGCGTGTTCCTCTCTGAAACGACAGTCAGTTTTGGCGTGTTCCTCTGTGAAACACCAATCAGTTTTAGCGGGTTCTTCTCTGAAACATCAATCAACTTTGGCGTTTTCCTCTGTGAAACACCAATCAGTTTTAGCGGGTTCCTCTCTGAAACATCAATCAACTTTTGCGTGTTCCTCTCTGAAACACTAATCAGTTTTAGCGGGTTCTTCTCTGAAACATCAATCAACTTTGGCGTTTTCCTCTGTGAAACACCAATCAGTTTTAGCGGGTTCCTCTCTGAAACATCAATCAACTTTGGCGTTTTCCTATCTGACACACCAATCAGCATTGGGTTGTTCCTCTCTGAAACACCAATCAGCTTTGGCGTGTTCCTCTCTGAAACACTAATCAACTTTTGCGTGTTTCTCTCTGAAACACTAATCAACTTTTTGCGTGTTCCTCTCTGAAACATCAATCAGCTTTGGCATGTTCCTCTCTGAAACACCAATCAGCTATAGCGTGTTTCTCTCTGAAACATCAATCAATTTGGGCGTGTTCCTATGTGAAACACCAATCAGCTTTGGTGTGTTCCTCTCTGAAACACTAATCAACTTTTGCGTGTTCC